GGGGTGGGGGCAGAAAGTGGAAATGAAAGCAGACAACAGAACATTGTTAGAGATCAGGAAAGGATGTGAAAGGAGACAATTTTAGAGAAGAAAATTTTTTGGTCGCTACCCGGAATCGAACCCGGGACCTTTGAATGAGAGGCCAACACCTTAACCTCTAGGCCACGAGAGCCCCCAGTGTAGAATTCTGTGGTTCAGGGTGAACGCAACACTGGTTGGCCTAGATCTAAGCGGTGAACGCCCACCGGGTGAAAATAGCCTAATATCATAGCCCAAAGACTCGCCTGCGCTTTTCTCACCCGGGGTGAGAATAGAGGTGGCCATCCTTGTTATAGGTAGATCTTGCGTCAATTGCCACCGAGCGACGCGGTGGCAATTGACAATAATTGACAGCAGCGTCGATTGCCACCGAGTGAAGCAGTGTCAAGTCTGAAAACAACACTATCTTAGCTTTCTATTCATAATGTGTGTCTAAGTCTAATGGCTCAATTTGTTCTCTTCTAAGTCTTCTATTTTCATTGTACGAGCATCTAGTCTAGAGCTACGTTAGCCTACACTTCGATGTAGAACCAACACAGGCAATTCTAGAAGTAGAAGGTCTCAAACGCACACAAACTCAAGCAGAAATTCATTTTATATCGGGGAACACGGTGGCAATTGACGCTAGTGTCAATTGCCACTGAGTGGAACGGTGTCAAGTCTGAAAACAACGTTTTATGATCTATCTTAAGCTTTCCATTCATACTGTGTTATGAACACATGACATATGAATAAGTTAGATCCAACCCCCTCTCATTAGATCTAGGCTAGTTGATAAGTCATAACTCTAGTACTAGTAGTTACACACATTCCTGGGTTGGAAAGGAAATAGTATGGATCTAGGTCAATTTCCGAATGTTTTGTACTCAAATTCTTCTTTTTAACTACACTGTCTACACAATGGTATTCAAAACTATCTATAGATAGACTTTATCAGGTAATCATTTTGCATAAATTCAAGTTCATGAAAGATTTTGTGTATGGCCGTCTTTATTCGGACTCGAGTCTGAATAACATTTTTTTCATATTCGGACTCGAGTTCGAATTTTTTAAATTCATTTTAGGACTCGAGTCAGAATATGAAAATTTTTTATTCGTACTCAGGTCCGGAAAAAAGGAAGTGTCTTCATTCTATTGATCTAACGTTCAGTGCTTCCAATTTTCCGCCCTTTCTTAGTTCCTCCCACACCTTACCTGATACGTCGTCCCGCCCCCCCCCCCCCCCCCCCCCCCTCCAAAGTTTCCCCCTTTTTTTTTTGGAAGAAAGGGGAAAATTTGAAAATAACGACCCCCGGGGCCCCCCCCTTTTTTTTAAGTGTGTAAAAAAAAAAAGACTGATTCGTTCAAATACGCAAGCCTGTGTCATTTTGATTGTTTACCAAGAAAAAGTTGTGTTACCGTGTAGAGCGAAGCATACGGCAACTTTTGATTCCACAGACCAGCGCACAATTCATTACGTAGATCTACGTCAAGACTAGTTTATTATTGTAATAATGATCAGTTGCCGGGGGGAAAAAGACAGACGCATATGCGACGTTCAGCGCCCGGACCGATAGTGCCCCCCCCCCCCCCCCTCCCCGACACGCACACACAGCCACACGTGTGCAGGCCGCCCATCCGACCCCGATACACGCTAACAAGCCATCTTTAATTGCTTCTGATGACCTCTTGACAAATGAACATTTATTAGAAGCGCTATAACTTTTCAGGCCTGCCTCAAATTCATCATAAGATAAAAACTCGGCTCCTGCACAAAACGCCATTTTGCCGGAAGTGATCCCGGTCTCTACCCAGCCTGAGGCGAGTCACGAGTGAGGCAGGACAGAAAGCCGGAGTCACGAGTCACAGGAAGTCGGAAGTGATGGCATGCTGGACAAGAATCAGAGTCCGAATAACATTTTTTCATATTCGGACTCGAGTCCGAATAGTCACTTCGTTTGTGTACTGTAAAATGGAAATCTCCTGGATCTCCTTTCAAGCTCCTCACGTCTAAGTGGGTCAATTTGTTTTCTAATTTCATTGGACAAACATCTAGATCTATAGCTACCGACTTCAACTTGGCATGTTTTGAATGAGACATAGGCTAGCCTACGCTCCGGTATAGAGCCAACACAGGCGATTCTAGAAGTAGGCCACAAACGCACACAAACTCAAATACGCTGATATATGAGAATATAAATCCGGAGGACAGGGGTTAGGGGGAGAGGGAGAGAGAGAGAGACACAGACACACACACACACACACACACACACACACACACACACAAAGGGACAGAGAGGAGTGAGTAAACAGAAGTTCACGAAGCACACATACATGATGTTGTTAGATCTACTCACCAACGTAAAAGAGCTCCAATTTACTCTCTGGCAATTGACGCTGGCGTCAACTGTCACCGCGTCTCTCGGTGGCAATTGACCCTACCATTATATTAGTCATGGTAATCTCCTGTTTTGGGCCTGAGGGCTGAGGCCAAGAGTGGAGGGGAATCGTGGTCAGACCTGCCGGCAATCTGTAAATAAAGAACTCACCTCCTCCGACCTTTTACCGGAAATGACCCTAGAGGGATCTGGGCTGATGGTAGCGGGCATGACCCTTGGGGGGGTCAGGTTTCATGCTCCACAGCATACGGTATCATGTTCGTCACTGTTCGTGTCCGAATAGTCACAGTCAGGGTTGTCCAGAAATTTGGCTCTTTTCGTTCCTGCCTTGCCCGGAGAATTTCATTTGGCTCTCAGGCTCTTTTTTGGCTCCAAACTCCAAATGTTGAAGAAGAAAGGAAAAGAAAAGGCAAGGGAAAGAAAAAGAAAGAACATAAGAAAAAATGAAAGTGAAGTAAAGAGCTTGGATTGATTATATAATTAGGCCGGCTCGGTTTCTCCGAGCGCTCGGGAAAATAAACATGAACTCTGTTTCTCTGAACGGTTTCCATTCTCAAGATCTGTTGATAATTTACGAATGGAGTAGCCCAAGCGCGCGCGCGCACGTGTGTGTGAGTGAGTGGGTGTGTGTATAACGTGTGAACGGGGCGGGGTGGAAAGGGGGGGGGGGTCGTGTGTAGGGATTTTTTAAATTTTGGTTTTCGTGAACGATTTTAGTTTTTGCTTTGAGGTGACTAAATGCAAATTCTCGCAGTACCTTTTGAAGGCATTTTCGAATGAAGTATAGTCCGAGAACGTTGCCCCAATCACAACTAAAGTATCTAAATATTCAGACATTTTAAAATCTCTAGCTCTAAAAATTGAATTCGGTGCAAAAAAGAAATGCTTCTTCCCAGTCCTCACAGAATGGCATAATGAAAGATGACACAGACCTAGATCTCGCAAATATCCCCAAAATCTCGAGAACGGAAACTGCTTGGAGAAATAGAGATCAAGTTTATTTCCCCGAGCGTTCTGAGAAATAGTCACTTCATAATGATTAAAACAGCGGGATCTCGAGCAAACTGGGATCTGCAGAGACTACTTTATAGTTGTAATAGTAGGATTAGTAATCTTTGGTGAATAATCCAGATCATCCCTTGTGATATTATTTACACATATACACTACCACAACTTGAACAACTACTTCAGTATTTAGTAGACTAACTAAGATAAGAGAGGGTGGCTGCGCTATAAAAAAAAATTTAAAAGATACTAGTATCAATATGAAGACTAGACTTCAATAGATTTGTAGTCATGAGTATGGTAGTGATTAAAGTTAAAATGTTAATACATGGTATGTTCAAACTTATCACTTCCATGTTATTGTCAGGGATTGTGTAGCACATTTCATTCTGAATTTTATTCTTTTCACATAATTAATGCTTCATGTCATGATAAATTTTATTGAGGCCTAGATCTAGAATCTATACATTTATGTTGCAAACCATTACATCTGAGATATTGATGTTTTTATTTGAACTATTGCTGGTTGTCGATGTTGGTTGCATGCATCATGTATTTCTACGTTAATTTCATAGTGTAATATTTCACTTGACTTAGATCTAAGTTATCTTGGTGTCAGATGCAGATGTGGGTGGGGGGGGGGGGTGATGCAAGGAGGTATGCCCTCTTGTATTTTCTTATAATCAAATGTTTGTGTGACGAATACTTTATGCAGTTGGGTTTGAAAATAGCTCTTTCTGGGGGGGGGGGGGATTTTTAACTCTATTTGCAGCGATTGCTTTTGTCTTCAGCATCCCAAAACTTTGGTTTAGTTTCTAAAACTAGTAAAAGTAGTGCAGTTGGTGGTATTTACAGTATAGAATTACCTTTATAAGAATTCTATTATAGAAATTTAACTTGTTCTGTAGACTGTTTTAAGAACTGGCCTTTTTTTTTTTTTAGATTTATATTTTTTATGATAATATAGGTCGAAGTGATACTGAACTGAGAATCATTGAGATGTAACTTGCATGAATAATTCATTATTGATCAATGTGGGAGATCATACTGACTAAATGGAAACAGAAATAAAGTACAGACAAGCTCTGTGTTTTCATTCGAATGATGCCTTTTTTATTTTGAACCTGTACTTTTCCCACTATACATGTAGTTAGTATTTCAAGTGGGCCAGATTTCTTACTCTTTAAATGAATTTGAGGGGTGGGGGGGGGGGGGTAATGGAAAAAGGGGAGTGGGATTGAAACCTTGACATTAGGGTCACAGTAATACTAGAATGGTTATATTATAATCAAAAGTTTGAAGAAAGTTTTTGTGTATATTCGTACAGTCTCTTGAGATGCCATACCCAATACCCTTTGTCCAAAGTCAAAGTCGGTTGTACTTATTTTTTTGGCTACCTCAGCTCAGCTCAGCTGTGAGATTGGTCGTATTGAGTTTCTCCAGAACTGGGTATCTTCACCTAACCTGAACTTTTTCACTTTTTAACCTACACGTGACCTTCCAAAAAGAAATAAATAATAGGAAAGTAAACTATGAGACAGGCCTCTTCTTTGAATTGTGTCAAGAAGTAATATAATATATTAGCAAGTATGCTTCTATTACTTATAAACAAGTGATTCATCAACTATAATAGATGGGAAATATTCCTATTATGATTTCTACCCTCTGTGAATATCTCTTTGCTCGTCAACTTTGTGATTACGGTAGTTTTTGTTTGGAGAGTTTTCTTGTTCTTAAACTTTGATGATCTATGAGACATTGTGATTCCACAGGTACACACATACAGCTGGCCAGACTGTCAAAAGTACTCAGAGTCATGCAAAGAAGCACAACAGCAGGGGTACAATGTGGTCTACTCCAAGGCATCTTTAAAATCAAATGACAATTTGTTGTACGCCTTCAGCACCATCGGCCTCCCAACTGTTGTGATGGCCCGCACCACGTCAGAAGACATGAACATGGAATTTGATTGGGACAAACTGGTCAATAAGTCAAGTCTGATGGATGCCATCTCAATCACTGGGAAGGGAACAGTGGAATATAAGTTTGGTGTTGCATTCACAAAGGTGTGTTCTTGAGTCTTGGGACATTTATTTCATTTTAGTGTCCCCATGTTGTGTACTGTTATGCAGTCTCTTTCACTTTCTGGCAGTATTTTACTAGCGCTTTTTACCCTCAACTTTGTACTGATCTACTAGATCTAGTACTGATGTAACAGTCAAACCTGTCAAAGACAGCCACCGATCGTCAAAGAGAAAAGGTGATCATCTAAGACAATTCTAGGTGTCTGTAGATAATAATGTCGGTGGGAGGGAGAATGGGGGAAGTCTGAGGTGATTATATTATTTGTATATATACATAATTGTCTTGGACAGGTGGTCGTTAGAGCATGTTCACTTGTACTTCAAACCATTTTTGTCTACTTTTGTGGCTCCCTTCATTCAATGTCACTTTTTATTTCCTAATTTTCATCACGTTAATGTTTTAGTCTCAAAAAGTATTCATTCATGTGCATTGTTGAAGCTGCTGTTACAAATTCATTGAAACCAAAAATGAGACATTTTATAGTGCGTTTTATCTCGGAGTGTTTCTGGGTTTTTTTGTTTTTTCTTATTTGCCTTTTTCTTTTCTTTTTTACCTTGCAGCTGATCGAGTATGATGACAGAAATGATACAGCCGATTTGGTTGTATGTGAAAAGAACAAGGGCAATTTCACTATCCGTTCATTTGAAGAGTTCACCTGGCAACCTGTAGAAAAAAATATCAAGAAGGATACATTTGTGTTCAACTCCTCTGACACTTTTTTCCCACCTTCCAAATCTGACAACGGGAGCGTATCTTTTAAGGTATTTTTTAAAAACTTTCCACAATATAGTCCTCTCAGCTGCTTTGGGTCTGGACAGGTCTGGTTAAAGGTGTAGTTGAATTTTTCCGGTTGGAATGGACCTGACCTACTATACAAGTTCAGAGTGTCATCTTGTCTGTGAAGCCAACGTGGAAGTAATCATGGTGTCATGCGTGAAAGACCTTTTTTATGAATGAAGGCCTCATGTAGACCTTTAAAAAGATCTGTTTGTTTAGGGTTGTGATATTTTTGTTTGGATTTTTTTTTTTCTCTTGTTAGGGGGTATAAATGTGAAATATTTAGTTTTTGTTTTAGAGGATAAGGCCTTTAGAAAAGAAAATGATCAATGTGATTCTTCTGAAGGTAAATGTGGAGGTGAACGCCGTACTTAAACATGGCTGTGATTCAAATACATTTTTCTCTTCATTACTGTGTCTTGCTCATGTATCCGATTGGAAATTCAGTCAGGCACAGATAGCACGAATCTTGCTTTGACTTTGACATCAGACAGGGTTCAGGCAGGTTCCAACCAACTATCATCCTATCAATACCAGGTACTTTTCATGATGTCAGAGAAGAGAAAACTTAACTGTCTGGCATTAGAAATCAAGTGTCAGATTTTAGCAGAGGTTGACAAGATGTCCGACACTAAGACAGAAATTTGGAAGATATTTTGTCTCCCAAAATCAATGCTTTCTACTTTTTTTAAAAATCAAAATGAAATGGAAAAATACTAGTATTGGATGTCAATCCAAAAGAAAATTTCTTAATTTATGTAGTAGTGTATTGAACGGATTTAACACCCCTTTGAACACTGAGATTGTTTGGGTATATTTTTGTAAAAATCAGATACTATAAAGGAGTGGCTACTGATACACAAGGTATGTCAAGCAAAATGAAAACTGAATGATAAAATCTTATTTTCTCTTTCAGTTTTTTGTTCGTGGGAGTGACGGAAGAAGCCCGGATCTACCTGGTCTGAAGTATACTGGAAATGAAACCCAAATTGAGTTTGAAATTGATAAGTACACACCCTCTTACAACAATTCCCGCTTTGCACTGGAAGTCGCTATTGTAAGCCAGTCGACTAATAAGGATATGAGCGTGAGAGTGACAGAAACAATTGATGATGAATATGCGCCTGGTGTGTTCAAGGTTTGTATATATCTGTATTGTGTTCTTGTTTTAAGATTTTATTCTCACTCATTCTTCATGTTTTTTTATTTATCTTTTTTTTTAGATTATCAGAATCATTTCATTTTCATTTTGCATGAATATTTCTCTCTTTAGATGCTTTATCATTAAGACTTTTCAAAGTTTGTGTATCTTGGTATCATAAGCATGCTTTTTTTTTTTTTTTTTTTTTTTTTTTTTTTGCTTTGGGGTTTGGCAATGATGTTATAGTCTGGTTCATTTACAGGCAAACTATTGACTTCAGTAGTGGGTGCTTTTGTGTGGCCCACTCATCCTAGTCCTTTTCAGTGGGTTTGCTGTTGTTGTTGTTTTTTTTTTGCTCTAAAATGTTCATTGTGAAATGTGTCTTTTTTGGGGGGGGCACACTGGCCATAAACTTTGACTCAACAACTCAGTCAGTAAGGAAGAAGGCTCATGTGCAGTCCTCGGTACAAAGCATAGGGAGGGGGGGGGGGGGGAGATTGAGGGAGCTCTGTTAATGGGTACTTCTTTTTTTCTCTCTCTTGTTTCACTTCATCTATCTTTCTAAATGGCAGTTAACATTCTGATGTGCCTCTTGTTTACTCCAACTGAAATAGGTGGATAGTCAACTTTTTGTTTTCTCTTTCTACCAGATTGCCGACTTGCTGTCAGATCCAGCTAGAAAAACTGAGGCTGGTTTTGTGCAGTGGAAACCTGTCGCTTACTTCGACAAAAGTCGGGGCCGCAAGTCTGCTACAGAAGTACAGATTTATACTCTGGAAAATCTGGATGAAGGGGAGCAGCTTAACAAGAGTGCCCTCTATGCATTTTTTGGAGAAGACTTGTATGATGGTTCAAAAGTGATCAAGAGGATTAGCAATATTTCCTTTGGGCTCCCTAAAGATGGCTTTTATGTCAAGAATAATTATACAGAATGGTGAGAAATATCTGCTTTATTGGTGTTTTCCAGTCCGTTTAGCGTTATATTCTCTGTCTTCTTTCTTTCTGGTCTTCTGTTTTTCTTCCTTTTTTTTTTTTTTTTTTCTTTTTCTGTAACTAACCCCTTCATTGCGGTACTGACATACATGGTATGCCTTGGAGAAGCACAATGCTCTGTCGTATCTTATCAGTGGCAGAATGTTCTTGTGAGTTATGAAAGGCAGGTTGTCTGGTAGAACTGCTTTTTACATGTGAGCTTTGCAACAAATTTACCATAGGTTTGTGTTTGTGAAGTACTGCGCTAGGTGCTTCTACTTCCTGACAGTTCCTCTGCTATTTATGTCTGTAATCTTGCATTTCTCCAGCCTTCTAATTTGCATTTTGTTGAAAACGTTTTGTGAGATAGTAAACCACCCACAAGATTTGACTTGAGAGGTACCTGTAATTCAAAATACAGTTATTCTGTTGGATGACTTTCGTGTTTTTGCACAACGAACCTAATATAGTTGGTTGCTTGTGACTGTAGGGAGTGGGTCACCTTTCATTGGTATCTCTTGTTTAAACAAATGAAATCGTCCCATTAATCTCTGATCACTTATTGCTTTTGTCACATTTTATCAGAGACAAAATTTTCTTATCAGTGGTGAGAGACAGGTCAACTCAGGGTGTAGTTGTCATGTGAAAAAACTTATCATATATACAGACTGATGTGTTTGTATGTGGGGCAAAGGTTTCTCTTTGTCGGTAGCACGTGTCAGACTTGCATTATCTCATTCTGTTGCAGGTGGGTGGAGGGTGTTACCAGAAGCTGTTACTTTTTAACTGATCCTCTGTTATCTTTTTCTGAAGCATTGAATTTTCACAGCACAATGGCATATTTACCTGTGTTGTAATGTTATCAGCATTATTTTGTCAGTATTCATCTCTGTAGCTGAAGGAAATACATTGGGGGTTCTCGTGGCCTAGAGGTTAAAGTGTTCGCCTCTCATTCAAAGGTTCCTGGTTCGAATCTGGGTGGCCACCGAAAAATTTTCTTTGCTAAAATTGTCTCCTTTCACCTCCTTTCCTGCTGTCTAGCAGTGTTCTGTGGTCTGCTTTCGTCTCCACTTTCTTTCCGAGTGCTCAAATGGCGATAGGTGATAGTGGAATGATGCTGACAAGATGTTGTTTTCTTACTTTTAACTAATTCAACCATTATGCAGTTGCCAATGCCATAAAACACTTGGGGGGCTCTCGTGGCCTAGAAGTTAAGGTGTTGGCCTCTTACTCAAAAGGTCCCGGGTTCGAATCCGGGTAGCGACCGAAAAATTTTCTTCTCTAAATTTGTCTCCTTTCACCTCATTTCCTGCTCTCTAGCAATGTTCTGTCGTCTGCTTTCGTCTCCACTTTCTGCCCTCACCCCGTCACCTCCTTTGCCCCTTCCTCTGGGCTCCTGATTCTTTCTGCAGCCTTTCTACTGCTACTCCTTCGCTTCTTCTTACTGCAGTCTTTCAGCTACACCCCTGATCTTCTGGTAGGAAAGATCTACGCCTAGCCTTCTCGGACAAGGGCGAAATATCTCGGAGGGCCCGTGTGCAAGTTGCGCACGTTAAAGATCCCTTGGTGGTCTAAAATCGATAAGAGTAGGCTTCGGCCGCCACCCGAGGAAAATTCAAAATTTCCTACCAACTGAAAATATTAGGTGTGTCCCGCGCGCTCATATGACCTATGCAGTTGCGAGCGCCGTAAAACACTCTACTATAAAAAATTTAAAAAACCACTTGCCCCTAAAAAAAACTTTTTTTTTTCATTTCTTTCAGGACTTATGCTGTGGGTTATGGTGAACCACCTCATGATGCGATTTCGATGACTGTCATCATCATCATCTCGGCTGGTCTTGGCCTTCCAGTGATTATTATCATCTTCGGTGCTCTTTTCACCATTGTGAGGAAGTGCCGGCGTAGTTCAGAGCAGCAGTATGAGCCTATCAACGGGAGCGGCAGTATAAATAGAAACAATCCACAGGTCAACTGAAGCATATGTCTTTTCTTTTTTTAACCTATCCTTTTTATTTGCATCCCATTATATTCATGACTTCAAAAGTTCAATCTATAGTTGTCTTGTTTTTTGTTTTTTACCTATTTTTCTTTGGCCTATGGCGGCTGCCTTAATTTTCGTTGTAAACTCTTTTACTCCCATGATTCTCAGCATGCAGTAGGGGGGGTGTCTGCAATTTGTAGCAACTCTTAGTTCTCTGGCCTTGGAGTTTTAATCCTGAATAAAATAAATGGCATGTCAAATTACATTTATTGGCATCTTCTAATGTTGATTTTTCTAGCCTCACCATTGTTTAATATTACGACGTGGTGCGTGGTGGAATCAGGCAGTTGTCAATTTTTTGGCATGTGGAGTTATTGATATCACTTTAAAGCTTATTCATTTGCCTTTGCTTTCAATGAAAAAAATATCCATCTAGCTTGAATAGAAGTCAAAATATTTGTGATTGAAAAAGGTGGGGTAGCCTGGTTTCAGTGGTTAAATTAATGAGAAAATGGCCGTCAAAGTTAAGTAACTTCAATAGCTTTAAAAGTCCTTGAAAACTGAAAATTACATATTTTGTGCCTTTAAACAAGGGTTTTCAGTAAAATTCACATGGAAATGTGTTTTCAAACTAACATAAAAGGTGTTTAACCGAAAAACAAAATTTCGATAAAAATTGCCATACTTGTGGAAAAATGTTTTTTTCTCCGATTTCATTATTTTGACGAGCGCCTGATTTCACCATGATGCCTCACATTTTTGGAATGTTAGCAAACTCAGATTGATGTTGTCACTTCTTTTCTGCTACCCATTCCCATCTTTAATTAGTCAGATGAAAACATCGAGGGGAGACTAATATTGTAATTTGTTCACTAAGCCTGTGCTGTTCTGTAACAAAGTACAGAGTTCTTTTTGCGACTGATTTATTGTGTTGCACGTGATATTACGGTCAGTTGAGATGCATACGTGTGTGACTTGACAGTAGTTGGAGTACTAGTACTCTAGTGGGTGATGGGAGGGCATCACAGGTAGGTCCTACTTCTTATCTTTCCCTCTGTTGTTTCTGAACTTTCTGTATCGGTCTTGCTTTTTTCTAGAATGAAATGACAGTTATTAGGTCAGTGTGATCCCTTTTACTTAATTTTATTACCTCTACTGCTACTGAAGTTCTTTTTTCTGCTTTATGGACGGATGATTCAGACATGACATGATGTACTATAAATGATAAATGATCTTCATTTGTACATTTTTCTGCCAAAGACACAAATCATTTGTCTGTGGTTGTTGTGTCTTGTTCTAAAGAGTATCAGAGTATCATTGCGTGTGAAGTAAATATTATTTGATAATTTTTTTTTATATATTTTTTTTTTGGACCTTGTGATTGAGACATACTTTCAAGCTTTAGTATGTGTAGAGAAGCATATTTTTGAGTTTTCTACTACAAAAAAGAAGACTAAGATATCCTAAAGATGATTCAGACAGTAGGAAGATCCACTCTTGTTAGAAGCCTGTAGGTTACTTAACAATAGAAACAGCTGTTTTGTGACTAAGCAGTCCTTTAGGCTTGTCAATTACATTATGGATATCTTCAAATGTTTATCATCTTCACAATTCTTTAATTTTTTTGAATGGTTGCACACTCAGATTACTTTGTAAATGATCATTGTATTCACACCAGTTTCAAATGTATGTAGCAGTTTTCATGAGTACCTTGCTAACTGACCATTCCCCCAAACCCTCCCTCCCTCCCCCA